AAGCTAACTTAGTTGTTATTCTTGGCTGAATAACTCTAGGTTTTCAAAAGCCCTTTAAAATTAAATATGTACACAGTTTGGATTAAATGAAAGTATAGTCAAATGTTTTAATTAGCATGTTTTTGTGTTTTGTTTTGGTACCGAAATTGGTACTGAGATCCGTGGATTTTCATTGGTATTGGTACCGAATACTGAAATTTTGGTACCATGACAACCCTAATTGTTATTGTATAATAATTGCACAATTTGGTCACACCAATTATTGAACATAATTCTCTAATAAATATGTTGTCTCTGCCGCCACAGGTGAAGTCTGCACTGATGGCGGAGGCGCGAGAGGAGTGCAGGAGGAGTTTCGAAGGGGAGCGCATGCGACTGCTGCAGGAGATCTCCGAGCTCAAGGCGGTGAAAAGGCAGATGGAGGAGGCGTTAAACATGGCTGTGCAAGCCGACAAGATCAAAGCCGCCGAGATCCGCAGCGTCTACCATCTCCATCAGGAGGAAATCAATCGCATGAAGGGGAGCGCATGCGACTGCTGCAGGAGATCTCCGAGCTCAAGGCGGTGAAAAGGCAGATGGAGGAGGCGTTAAACATGGCTGTGCAAGCCGACAAGATCAAAGCCGCTGAGATCCGCAGCGTCTACCATCTCCATCAGGAGGAAATCAACCGCATCAAGAGAGAGTGTGAAAGAGAGATCCGCAGACTGGTGCGTAATACAGTTTAGAACATGCACTATTAATCAGTGAATTCATCTGTCAGTACATCGGTCTAAATACATACCCTTATATATATATATATATATATATATTTTCTTGGGTGTCAGCTGATAATTGAAGCTGCTCAGGTTGATCAGAACACTTACCCCAGGTTTCTCCATAGGGACTGTCTGTTCCATTAATGTGCTGAATGAAAATCTTTTGTTAACTGGCAGAGCTTCACGCGGTTTACACAGGAAAACCTCACTCATGGGTGTTGCCATGATGGAAAAAGTTCTGGAAACTTTCCTATTAGTCAGTCATTTAATTTGATGAATGGAATTATTCATTTGCATTTATTTAGCAATAATTCACATAATTACAACACACTTCTGTAAGAATTCAAATTTCTGTACAAGTTTCATTCAAATTCAAATCAGTTGTTTGAAGTCCCGCCCCTTGCTTGTTAAGCCCCACCCACTTTGACTTTTTTTTCTCTCACTTAGACGAACTTTATAAACCATCCCATTGGAATAAACTACAGAGTTTTAATGCAATTCATAATTTTCAGTCAAATGTGTTTATAAAGTGTTTGGATATTATTCTTGTGTGGGCTGGAATGAATTGTGACACTGCGACACATTTTATCTTTTTTCTTTAAATAAATAGTTAAATTATGCAGTAAATTGATTTAAAAACAGCAGACACTGCAAATCTGAATCAAACAAACATTTATTTATCTTGGAGCAAATGTGGTTTTTTTTACTTATGTTGAAACGGAGTATAATTCCCTGCCATGCACTGTATTATTAAAAAAAAAAAAAAAAAAAGTTTATACAAGTGGGAACAAATATTGTTTATATTCTCTTTGGGTACATTGTCTGGGTACAAGTGCTCTAGTACTGTATCTTTGGATAATTTCTGTAAAAATCCATTCGAAAAATGATCTGAAAACACAAGATTTCCATAGAACGGCAACAGTTGCTAAGGTAGTATTGGCCAGTAATGTTTCTAAGGCGGTGCTTAAAGTAAAGACTTTCTCTCCAAATCCCCCACTAAAGCTTCAAGGTTTTATATCTGTTGGTTCACATTTTATTTTTAGCCGTATGTGTGTGTATCTCAAAATGGCAGTGTGTGTGTCCTCGTGTACTACACTTAAAGTGAAGCTGCTTTCTTCCCTTCAGAGCCTCTCTTGTTCTGGGCTTTTTGCCATCCGGTTTTTTCCTGGAGTATGAAAATCTCTGTATCTCTGCAGTCAGTGGCCGCTGATATCGATCGCTCTTGTGTGGCTGAGCGTTGACTCTATATCTCTTCAGGACTAAATGCAAGAAATACTTCAGGGTTGAGGCAGGACTCTGTATGATATGTATAGTAGAGGAGCATATTGATGGAAAAGATGCAGGACGTTTCACTATTTTCTGAGAAGTATATATATTTAGGGCGGTGTATATGGTAGATATATTTGCGTGGCTATTAGTAAGTTTATGTTTTTACATGACAGAGCAGCAAAACATTGAGTAATGCTTTTGTACATCTTTTGTTATAAATAACCTGATGTTTTGGTTTTCAAGAAATTAATCAAATTAAAAGAAACCATTCAAGTTACTGGAAAATTGAAAAATATATTTTTTAACATTTTGTCTGTCTGTCTGTCTGTCTGTTAGTATACAGTGCCATATGGAAAAAAGTTTAGTTTTTTTATTATTATTATTAGGTATGGTACTATTGTATTACGGTACTTATATATATAATAGCAGTTACATTATATATTAATATATTGTTTGTACTGTAGTCGTAATTTTTATATAATATAGCAGTACTGTAATTTACAATTGTATTATTATTATATATATTTTTTAAATATTGTATCTGCCCATTATACTGATACCGTGATGTAAGATTTTGGTAGTACTTCTCACCCCCATAAACATGTCCTCTTGTTTCTGTCTGTCCCTAATCTTATCCCATTCTATTAACTCATCGTAGCGCTATTGAATACATGTTACTGATGTATTATCTGGTGGGTTGTGAATCCTGGTCTGTATGCGATTAGAGTCCTGTGCTGTTGTTGTGTGTTGAGGATGTATTGATCTTTGGATTATTTATTGTATTGCAGGGCCGGCTGGGGATGTTAATCACATAGTGTGTGTGTGTGTGTGCACGTTTACTGATTCAAGTCCATGACTGTCCTTTATGGATGGGACAGACCATCCAACCAAAACAACAAAGCCAGCCCATCATTAGAGATTCTTGCTGAGGCAAGCACTGTTTGTGTTACCGGCAAGACAGATGCCTCAAATCATGTGGCTGGTTGAGGAAAGGTCTGATGTTAGTTTTCTAAGCAATCAGACTTACGATTTTAATCTGGTAGAATTAAAAAGAACTTCAGAATGCAAGCAACCACCCAGTAGAACTCAATAACAACCCAGCATCCGCCTAGCAACCACCCAGAGTGCCCTAGCAACCTCATAGCAACAGATATGGATAGTTGAAGGGAAGCAAAAGACAGCATGATGTCAGCTGAAATAATGAGACAGTAGAATGAAAGAATGAAATGGCAGAATGATGAATCACACAACATTTCCTGATTGGTCAGCTGCATTGATGACATCAGCACCAGTTGGCAGGATGCCAAGCCAGCTGTAGAAATGATCTGATGGGAGGGAGAGACACTGTGCCTGTGTGATTTTAAATGAAAGATACGTTTGGATCTCGGTTAAGTGAAATAATGGGATTTATTCTGGTCTGGGTTGAAGTGAAACATCAATCAAGGACAAGTATTATACGGACGTGGAAGGTCTTGCTGTAAGTGCATTTACATGGGTTGTTGGTACACAGTCTGAGAGTGATGTGAGGAACACACTGAATACTGAAATTGTTGGGAGGGCATCTGGTGCAATCCACAGGGGAATGCTGGACATTGAGTAGTGGATTTTTGTTTTAAGTAGTGCTGAGTCTCCAGAAAATGCTTTATGAGGAGGACTCTTCATTTGTTAGATGATGCAAGTGAGAAACAGCCTACTGTTCCAAGTTAATTTCCCCATCAAGAAAACATGTATGTATGTATGTATGTTGCACTTTATAATAATAATAAAAAGAATGTTGCTAGCATCTCGGCATGTAGTCCTTTTTTGGATACACAGCAAATTAATTTCAGTTATTGAGTTTTTGGAATCATTTTTTACTGCGCTCGTAGCATGTGCTCTTCAATTGCATGCGCAAATGCAGTGGCGCATGCTGCATATTATCTCATATTAAAGCGCAAATAAAACTGCGAGCATGCAATGTCGTAGTTATGTCATCAGTTAAGTCTTGAAGTTACCAAAAAGATGATTTAAGCTGCCTTAAATCTTTGAATGTTTGTGTAAGTATTTGTTATATTTGAGTCACATTTAAGAACATGTCTCTGAAATGCAGTGGTTTTCAAAACTGTCCTGGAGCAGCCCAGCACTGTCCCCCTCATCTAACACACCCGATTCAACTCCTCAGCTCATTAGTAGAGACTTTAAGACCTGAAGTGGGTCAGAAAAGGTAAAGAGTTGTGAAAAAAAAAATGATGCCTGTCAGATCCGTGTCATGTTCAGCAGCGGCAGCTCTTAAATCAGCCAGAATAACCTAATAACCCAGCTGCTGTGATGCTTGTTAACCAAAGAACAAAAGAAAAAGAGGAAATAAATTACGTTTGTAGCTGTAAGGATTCATCTATATTTAATTTAGAATTTAGTGTTTGATAACTTTATTCAATTTATGTATATTTCCTACTTGCTGAAGGGCACAGGTAAATATGACATTTATTATAATGGGTTTATTTGAAGATTGTTTTAAGTTCACTTCAATTAGAAGTTGTTATTTTTTTTAAGTCTACTAAATGTTAAAATTGATAGCTCTCGATTATACTGTAATGTTGAATGGCTATAGTCATTGGTTAAATATTAGGAAAATGTGATACTCACCTTCAGTCATATAAAAGATGCCATTAAACAAATATAAAAATATACTGTCTTTGTTGTTTCTACATAAATTTGAAGGTTGAAAATGAAATTATTGCAATATAAAAGTATATTTAAAAACTTTAATGTTAGGTGGGATTAATCAAATCACTATTAATCATGATTTCAGAAAAATGTGCGATTAATTAGTTAATTTTTTTTTTTATTGATTGACAGCACTAGCAAAAACATAAGCTCCCAAGACTTCCTGATCATATCATTTTTTACAGTAAGCAGCCACCTAACCACCAGTAACACCCTAGCAGTCAACAGTTTTTGAACAGTAAGATTTTTAATGTTTTATAAAGAAGTCTCTTCTGCTCACCAAGCCTGCATTTATTTGATCCAAAGTACAGCAAAAGCAGTAATATTGTGAAATATTTTTACTATTTAAAATAACTGCTTTCTATTTGAATATATTTTAAAATGATTGCTGTGATCAAAGCTACATTTTCAGCATCATTACTCCAGTCTTCAGTGTCACATCCTTCAAAAATCATTCTAATATGCTGATTTGCTGCTCAAAAACATTTATTATTAATTATTATGTTGAAAACAGCTGAGTAGTGTCACGGGCAGGGTGTATGATGTTCATCTCGCCTTATTCTGGGTCCGAATAAAACATCAGATCATGCACAGACTATCCTGTCTTTTTGAATTTAAATCTATATTTATTCACACCGGCTCTTGAAAACCTCTCTGCAAACACTTGCCCGAAAAAGTGCGGGGGACGAATTTACGTGATATTAAAAGTAGGGGGGGACACGTCCCCCGCGTCCCCCGCGTAATCTACGCCCCTGCCTTAAAGTGTGTAATATCTATGCCACTAGCATTATCAGATGGAATGGCAAAACTAATAAGTTGTAATATTAAGAAGAAAAATTGCACATCACATTTAATTTAATAAGTCATGGCAATATTAGTTTTAGTGCCTGGAAAACTTGGAGTGAGATGCTCTTCATAGTTCAAATGTGTCAATCCTCTGCATGCAGACAGACTGTAAGTTTATTAAGCATGTGTGAGTGTGAATGGGTCGTGTTTAAAGGCTGGGTAAATAATGTTGAGTCCGTGGATAAGGGGCGTAACAGGATTAGTTTCAAAGAAGGAGACACAGTCTGACACATGAAAGAGAGACTCGTCGTCTGAGGCGTTGAGATGTCAATTAGAGACGGGCTCAGACGCTCACAAGGGAAGGTGGATTACAGCTGTCCTGCCTTTTCTGCAGAGATAGCTGTGCCTCGGCCGTTTGAGGGAGTTTGGATCAGCCTAGTGTTGTTTAGAAAGGTTTTACATGACTAAATATTCCCAGAAAAAAGTGAGCTTCCTCGGGATTTAATGTTAACAATAACACATCGCATGTTAACACTAGTCCAAAAGTGCGATCCACAATGATTATTATCATTTTTATTAGTGTTTTTTTTATATATATATATATATATATATATATATATATATAATTGTTTTGTTTTATATGTAATATGGCATTTTCATTTTGGTAAAATGCCATATTATCAGATATTATCAGAGTATCAGATATTATATGACAAATCCATACAGATACTCAGGGTAAACCATAGAAAAGTTGTTATATTTAATATATACAAATACAAATATAAGGGTTTTTTCCCATTATTGACACATTTATCATCCTGTATAAATGGCAAAAAAATACACCCTGTGTATCATTAGGTTTGCCATTTAATATATGATTCTCAACCTAAATAATTTAAAGATGAAATTGCATCATATGACCCCTTTAATATTTCTCTCCTTCTTTGATGTTTAATATGCATGAAGAGTGGCAATTCAAATGGTTATGAAATAATGATTTGAGTTACAGTTATTTATGTGAGAAGCACAGGGGAAAAAAACGGTCAAATATACTGTTTAGCGGCCATTATACAAAAATACCTGACTGCAGATGCTGCATTTAACCAATCAGAATCAAGTACAGTAGGCATGATATGTAATAATTAAATGCATGTGCTGGTTGGCTTCACATTCAAAGCACAGTCCTACGAGAACACCATTTGATGAAGGGAATTTGAAAAATTAGGACATTTCCAAATTCATGTTAAGCAGCGCACCGGCAGGAGTTTGCTGTTGGTGTCTGTCCCTCACGGGTCTGAAGCCCTGCAGTCTGGCCTGTAGCCCGGATACTGAATGTCCACGGATGATATTCCTTGATTTAATTTATCATGCACATGAATCACCAAGGAAACAGTGAGGCGTGTGTAATGGCATACATCATAATCTAAGTATTCATGAAGCTCATGGAAACAGTCTGTTTAAAATGCTAATGTGTCGTGTTATGTGCATTTATGCTGAATAAGTGTCTTCCTGTAGCTGCAGGGATGCCATATAAGAGAACAGGACCTAATTTTCTCACCGATCCATGTAGTGCTATATATATAACACAGATAAACATAGACGCACACTGAGAATTCCTGCAGGATGCTTGGATCACCGTGGTAACGCCTACAGTGGGTGTGCTGATGTGAGTCACCTGACAGAGAGAAGGAGTTTCCACCAGAAAGATAGAAAGAAAGAGATAAAAAAGAGATGTGTACTTTCATTGACTAAACAGTTTTTTTTTTTTCTTCTTTAGTATGTTGAAGTATAACACATACACTGTTTCTACATAGATTTCAACTGAGGTGGTTGGAATGTATAGGCGAGACCGGGGCTAGTTGTCACACAGAATGGCACCTTTTTTTCTGGGATGAAAATATTCTTTAGGTCTTTTGTAGATTGTATGTGTCTGTACAGAAATTGATTTTCAAAAAGAAACCTGAGAAATATTCACTGGAGTAAATAGTGTGACAACTAGAGTTTGAACGAATTTTATCAGTCCATCAGTTCACCCTTTATACTTAGCAGTCAAAGATATTCAGCTAATTACCATTTCCATGCAGATTTTAGAAACTGAGATGTATAAATCTATGCAGTGTTTGAATCAGTGCATAATTAGAGTTTAATGGTTCTTTTGAACTGCTGTTCAAGGTCTTTGTGAGCTATTTCTGAACTGTACATGAGGCCGTCTTTCCAATTAGGTGGTTTATTAGAGATGTGATTTGTGTTTAGGTCAGCCTAAAGATTTTGCATTTGCATGTTCAAATGTGAAAGGAATTGTAAAAGTGTAGTTTGCTCACAGAGAACTGAATATTACTGCAAACCTCAATAAAAGTGGAGCACAATAGGTATAGTAGCTATAAATGAATGTGTGTATTTGAGAGAGAGAATGTCGCGGCAGAGAAAGCAAGCAGCACAGTTCATTTCTTTGAGTGGTGCTTCTGTTGTGCTGCTGTGTATAGTTGCTGTGATGTGAATGTGAGGAGTTTATGAAATGGATTTATATGGTCGTCCTCTCACTGATACATAAGTTTGATGGGATCACTTTGTCTCTAGACATGGTGCAAGTGTGCGCAAGCACAAGGAATTTGTTGTGGTTTTATCGCATATCGCATTTTTCTTCAATATCGCACAGCCCTAGTGCATGCTGTGAGTGTCAGAACATATACAATAACACAGACGAGTCTGATTCTCTGCAGGTTGTGTAGGTGAGCAGAATCACAAGGATGTATGTTGCATTTTGACCCCTATACTTTATATAATTTATGCAGTCTAAGAAAAAAAAGACTGAAGCTGTTACTATGGCAATACAATTTCAAAAGGTACCAGTATGTACACTTTAGGTAATAATATGCATCATTTAGGGGTCAATAAGGTACTAAATTATACCTTTTGAAAGTGTTCTTCCCCAGTGACAGCTTTTGGGGGGAAAAAAATCTTAAAGGCTCACAGAGCAATTTTAAATAAATAAATAGTAAATCTAATAAAAAAATTAAGCAGTTTACTCCTAAGTACATTAAATCAGCTTTCTGGAAAATCTGCTTTCTGTTGCTGCATTTCTTTGATTCGGTTCAACTTGAGAAACTAAACCCTTAAACTAAAACCATTAAAAAAAAAATGTTTCTTAAAATAAATGTTAACTGAAAAAAATCATAAAAACTACATTTTATGGATTTGGGGAAGAGATGGATGGATGGATGGATGGATGGATGGATGGATGGATAGATAGATAGATAGATAGATAGACAGACAGACAGACAGACAGACAGATAATAAAACTGACATAAAAACAAAATATATACATAAAAAAACTAAAACTAATAAAAATGACAAAAACAAAAAAACATGCTCAAACTAACTAAAATGAAAACGGAAAATATAAAAAGAAAAACTAATTCAAAATATGAATCAAATCAATGATACTAAAATAACCCTGGACCTGCTGTGCCTGTGTTGCATTTCCTGTCTTGAGTGAACCTGGTAACTCTGAGCGTTTCCTCCTGCAGACTGCCGGTCATGTTTTATATATACTTAATACGACTGTGTCCTGTTTAAGGCAGAATGTGTGTGACTGTGCTGTGTTCTGTCCTGTAGATGGATGAGATTAAACTAAAGGAGCGCGCTGTCTGTGGGCTGGAGAGAGAGCTCAGCGCTCAGGCGGGCCACACGTGGAAACTACAGCAGCAGAAACAGGCTGTAGACACTCAGCTGGCCCTGCTGCGAGACTCCAGCCCCAGACAAGAGGGCCCTTATTCACCCGCTGCAGGAGACGCAGTAGAGAACACAGCTAACCCTGTAAGCACCTCTCCTTCATTACTAAACCTCACCGCTTGCTGCACGTCTGCTTTCACTGTGCTCACCTGCTCGGATCCGTTTTCCTCAACCCAGATTTACCATAGTAAAGCGCAGCAGTCAGGTTTTTAGAAAATCCCATTCATATTCTCCATCGAGAAACTGATTTTGAGCAATAACATAAAATGTTTTCAAGACAAACCTACCATGAGCTCCATAGTTATTAGGTGATGGTGTATGCTTCTTTAAAAGCCACAAGTAATTCATGTTCATTTTTTAAAAAGTCATGCCAATTTCCTAGTAAAAAGCTGTACTAGAAAAAACTTATGATTCTATATGTTTGGATATTATGCAATAAACTTCAGATGTAAGATATTTTCAATGACGACTCATAGTCAAATGGTTTTATATTGTACAGTCTTTTTTTCTTTGTGTCATGAGATTGTGGGATGAGTAGTTCATTCATTCATACTTTTGTCTTTTTGAATACTTTGCAGTTTGGTGTGTGTGTGTGTATATATATATATATTGGCGGGTGTTAATTTGACCTTTTTTATATATATATTTATACATATAAAAGTATTAATTTATATATATATATATATATATAAGAAATTAATACTTTTATTCATTGAGAACACATTTAATGGATCATAAGTGACATTAAAGACATTTATAATGTTTCAAATAGATGCTGTTCTTTTCTAAATTTATATTTATTAAAGAATCCTGCAAAAATGTATCACAGTTTCCCCAAAAATATTAAGCAGCACAACTGTTTTCAACATTGATAAATAATAAGTAATGTATCTTGTGCAGCAAATCAGCATATTTTCATGATTTCTGAAGGATCATGTGACACTGAAGACTGGAGTAATGATGCTGGGAAAAAAAAGCTTTGCATCACAGGAATAAATTACATTCTAACATATATTCAAAAAGAAAACAGTTCTTTTAAATTGTAATAATTTTTCACAATATTACTGATTTTACCGTATTTTGATCATATAAAAGAAGTCTTGGTGAGCATAAGAGACTTTCAAAAACAAACAAACAAAATCTTACTGCTGTCAAACTTTTACTGTAGCTTTAATTCAGAGTTTGTAATGTGATTCGTTTTGGAGCTGGTTGGTTTGGTTAATGGCTTATATTCTGTACTGAAAACATTTTAAATGCCTCTGGAGAAATTAAATGAGAAAAATACTTACAGAAACAAGGTTGTGTAAAAGTGGTCAATGACTGTTGCACTTTACTGTTTATTAATTATCAGCTATGCTGCTATTCACAGCATCAGTCCTTGAAGAACCTCTAAAAAGATTTTTATTCCAATCCAGTGTATAAGAACATTCAGGTCGATGATCATCAAAAAGGTCATGTGCATGTGGTAATAACTTTATGCACAACAGACTTTCCTTGCTTGATTTCAAGAAAACGAAAATGTTACAAAAGTGTGCAATATGGCCCCTGAAAAGATGATTAATCGATAGGTTGGAATTAAAAATAACATTTTGTGCAGAGGTTCTGAAAGAATGAAATAGACCTGGGTTTGAGGAAGATATTACCGGTCCAGCTGCTTGTTTCATCTGCTGGAGTAAACACAGATCTGTCCCGGGATCCTCACGCTTGACAGCATGACTCTAATGTTCTATTCTTTCCTACATCACACATTACAAGCATTAGGATCATAATTACACCTCTTATTGCCTGCGCAAACTCCTCTATTGACAGATTTTCATTATTCTTAGTGTTTTTACTCAATTCACTTTTGTTAGTAATGTTTGTATCGGAATGATCATCAAAAACAACCAAACCAAACACAACATTAATTTGGCCATCATCATGTCTTAACTGAATTTAATATTCTGCATCTAAATAAAGCATTAATAGCATGAGCTACCGTATTTCTAAATGCCAAATGCCTGGCAGTTTTGGCTTTGTGCTTGTTAGGTTTGCGGGTTTACTTATTTCCCTGCACACATGGTCCAAAATGTATTTAATTCAACTTTATTTGCAGAGTCTCCTGCTGCGTCTTGAATAAGGGCCTGTTTAATTTGCCATATATTCTATTTTAATTCTTTCTCTGGAGTCTAACAAAGAAACTTCTTTTTCAGTGTGTTTACATTTATGCATTTTACAGAGGATTTCATCCAAAGCAAATTGAGGATTTGGTGTTTCTTGGGATTACACCATGCTTCCAGTTGAACTACAGAAATTGCATAGGAATATATATATATATATATTCTTGTTTATTAGTCTAGTTTTAAATGTTTTATTCTTGTTTTAATGCTTTATTCTTCATATGGCTTGTTTGCTGTATAACAGACCGGTGTGGTGTATCATGATATTAACTTACTGAGAGAAGCAGCTGTTTATCATTTATTACAAATTAATAGTATTTACAATTATTAAAAATATTATTACATTTTAAAATAACTGTTTCTAGTTGAATATATTTCAAAATGTAATTTATGTCTGTGATGCAAAGCTGAATTTTCAGCCTCATTACTGCAGTCTTCAGTGTCACATGATTCTTCAGAAATCATTGTAATTTGCTGCTCAAGATACATTTCTTATTATTATCGGTGCTAAAATCTGTTTTTGAAGCTTAATATTTTTGTGGAAACCTTCATACTTTTTTTTCAGTATTCTTCAATGAACCGAAAGTTCAAATATTATTTGAAATATAAATCTTTTGTGGCATAAATTACTTTACTGTCACTTTTGTTTAATTTAATGCATGCTTGCTGAATAAAATCATTACTTTCTTAAAAAAATAATATAATTTGAGGGCTGTATAACAGACTTGTTTCACCGGTGTGGTGTAGCATGATATCAGCTGTACTAAGAGAATCAGCGTTAGTTTTAAAGCAGCTGTTTGTCATTTCTGTGGCACCAAACTAATGTTTCAAAAAATGATGCCTCTTTTCCTACGAGTTTAAACTCTCGTCGGGTTGCCCATTGTTTAGTCAAATATAAACTGATATAAATATACACATATAAAAATAGATGTAGCTGTGAGAGGGGCCGCCCATGTAGTTTCACTCTGCCATCATGCAGCAGAGAGCAGACGGCTGAAGGTGAGAGTGTGAGTGTGATCTTTCCCACATATCACCTTCTCAGAGCTGATAGGAAACGCATGGATGCACACACTTTATATTCACATGTGTGACGTATTTTTGCATCTTTATATCCGAGGCTTGTTTCCCAGGAGCAGAACATCCGTGTCTCTGGCTGTATTTGTGTTGCTGTTGGTTTGATGTCCACTTCTGCTGTGGTGGGGCTGCTGCTTTCATTTTCTCTGCAGGAGAAAATATGGATTTGATCAGTGGCCTTTCAGCTCTTTGTCAGATGTGGCAACGCCAGAGCGCTCTGACTCTACGGTTTCTACGGTTACCTGAGATAATGGAATATTTCCTAAATACAGCAACACCAAATGGAATTGAAATAAGATACATATATAAAAAGTGTATATATATCAAGACTTTTATGTTTGTCGAAGGTGTTTAAATAAACCACGAGAATGTTCTCTTAAAGAGACAGTGGCAAGGAAATGAACACAAAGACCATGTTGCCATATGGCCACACCATGCGGTAGAGAGTATTTTTGCCTTTCTGAGTGTTATGTGATAGTGTGAATGTTCTCTGGAATGGTGGTAAGTGTCTGAGCAGTGATTAATGATTTCAGTGTTTCCTCCTCTCAGCTCAGACAGGCTTAAAGATCAATACAGAGACCGAGTGATTTAAACATGGCAGCTGGAACCTTCAGGAAGGATTCGGATTCAGTTTACCACTCAATACGGTCCTCAACAATGGCATGATGTTCAAGTAGACTGAAATAGCCTAGGTGGCTTCTCTATTCATTTAGATTTCATGTCTTAAACAAATTCTCCAGCTAGTTAGACAGTCAAGTATACTTGCATACAGTAGATTGTCTGATACAGTATGAAGTACAGTATTTGTTTTGCAAAAACAAATTTTCTTTGACCGTTTTGAAATATTGTGTTGTGTTCAAAATGTGTAAATTCACTGGTTTCTCACTGAAATCAGTACTAGTACAGCGGCCTTTTATCTAAGGCATTGATATCCATGCATTTTTAAGTGTCGAAATTTAAGGTTACTGTATGCTTTTGCCACTGCAGTTTTTTTTTAATCTGTTTCTTTGTGTGTTTGTGCCCAGTTAAAGCGTCTCCGTGAAGCTGAGAGCCAGTATAAGCCGTTACTAGACAAGAAGAGACGTCTCAGCCACAAGAATGAGGAGCTGGTTCGTGCATTGAGACGCATGGAGAACAAACTGCAGTTCATCACTCAGGAGAACATCGAAATGGTAATGAAGCGAAGCAACTCACTGAACATATCTGTATTTGCATAGCATGAGCCCATTTAAATTTAGAGACTTTATTGAAAAAATATAAAATTTTATATAGTGAAAAAAACAAATGGTGACCAGTTAAATCTCTTAAAATGCTGATTGATTGTTCATTGGGGTCAGTAAGTTTATTTATTTAGTTATTTAGTTGTAAGTTTCTTAAGCTCACCAAGGCTGTGTTAATTTAATCAAAAATGCAAATGCAGTAATATTGTGAAATATTATTAGAATTTTAAACAATGGTTTCCTAATTTAATATATTTTAAAATAGAATTTATTTCTGTCATGGAAAAGCTGAATTTTCAGCATCATTACTCCAGTCTTCAGTGTCACATGATCCTTCAGAAATCATTATAATATCAAGAAACGTTTCTTATTATTATCGATGTTGAAAACAGCTGCGCTGATTAATATGTTAGTAGAAACCATAATACGTCCAGGATTCTTTGATGAATATAAGGTTTAAAAAAAACAGCATTTATTTCAATCGACCTCAACTTTTCCTGAAGGCATCAGTGTTTTATTTGCTAATGAAGTTTTATTGTTTGTATTAAATAAATGCACCTGCTTTTGAACAAATCAGAATTATTCCTATTGGAAATTACAGTAAATGCATGATGGGGAGGCTGGTAGAGCCTGGTCTGCATTGATCAATTTATATCCAACAACTGCTGCACTGTCATTAGACGTAATTGGCCATTTCCAGCTCAGACACACTACTATTATTTAGATTTTTGATTCCCTAGACAAAAGGAGCATCCATCTGCCTATTCTAATGCATAAACCTATATATGTTTATATATGTTTGATACTGAAGTAGTCTTTTCAGGTGAAGTTCACACTATTTGAGATAAAACATTAGCTTTGAATCCTGAAGCATCTTTATGTAACATGGCCATTTCTGCATGTAAACAATTTGTTAGTTGAGCCGTTCAGCATCCAGAAAGTACCCAGCCTTGTTACTGCTCATGTTTAAATGATCTGATCATTATGACAACTCATCAGACATTAGTAATTATCTGTCAGCAGTCTCTGTGCACACATCCGGTCACTTGACGTGAAGAATGAGGTTTTATTTTGCAGCGAGAGAAGGCTGGGACGATACGGCGGCCCAGTTCTTTGAACGATCTGGATCAGAGTCAAGAAGAAAGAGAGATCGAGTTTCTCAGACTACAAGTGCTGGAACAACAGAACATAATCGACGATCTGTCCAAGGTATCAGTATATCTTCTCACATGGATGCACAAAAAAAAGTATTTTAAAAGCCACAATTAGATAATTATAATTATACGTGCAAACTGTGTCTTGCTGTTCTCTGATCGGTCTGTTTTAATTTCCAGGCGCTGGAAACCACTGGATACGTGAAGAGTGTGATAGTGAGTCATTTTGCCTCTGGGAAATATTCACACTGTGAAATGCTAAAATATGTTTTTGCATATGAGTGCAGTACATGTTACCTAACCCAGATGAAAATGGAAATGCAGAAATATCTGTTTTCTCAAAGGGTGAATGAAATTAGCAGCTGAAATGAGTGAGTAATGTACTGTATGTGATGTTCAGACATAATGTAAATACAGTTGTATGCATGCATTTCTTTCTTTCTGTAAAACTGGAAGTGTAGTGGAAACAGCACCTTGTACTTTATAGAAATGAGATGTTCATGTATGATAGAGAATCTGATGCAAGTTAATGTGTTTTGTTCTTTAATGTAATCAGGAGAGAGACATGCTGCTGAGATACAGGAGACAGGACAGCCTACGCAGAAAGAAGCCCTTCAGAACCTGTAGGGTACGCAGACATCAGGACTGAACTACACATGCACATTTCCTTGTCAAACACACTTTCAGCAAAAAATAAAATAATCACGTTATTATTTTACATTACTGCATAATGTAATGTCTCATTCTTATATACTATTTACATTGTTCGTACATTACATTATTCTTAATTATGCATTTTAAGATTAATTATGCGTTTATAGTGTGTATATAATATTTGCTTTAAATATTGTATTTTATTTTTTATTTGCTTATATTTTATTTAGTTTTGATAATCATATCCTTTGAATAATTTTGCATGGATTATGCATTCATTTTATAATAATATTTTATTTATTAAATATTTACTTTAAAATATTATATTATTGTTTTAGGGTTTTGTTTATATTTTATGAACTGATTGATATCATTTAATTATTCATTGAAAGTGCATTTATTTTTATATTAATACTAAAAATGATCATTATAATTATTATATAATGTTGTATTTTTTTATTATTAAGCACCGCTGCATTGATGAATCCTGGTGATGTCTTTTTAAAAATATATTAATTTACGCAACAATTAACATTAACCCTGTGATTTCTCACAGAAACGATCAAGAAATATTTAAATTATATTTAATATGAAGAATATAAGCCCATTTTCTCCGTTAGTATTTGTTGAACTATTTTTAATTTAATTTAGAATTTTTTTTAATTATCATTTATTTTTTTCTTTTCCCTTATCTTCTGTATATTTAAACTTCTTTGGGTCAAAAAGGTTTTTAAAACAAAATCTCTCTCTCTCATTCTCTCCATAGCCGGTGGTGGAGACGTTTTTTGGCTATGATGAGGAAGGCTCTATAGACTCGGACGGCTCCTCTATTTCCTACCACACGGACCGAACGCCCTGCACACCAGACGATGATCTCGAAGAGGTGCGTGTGTGTTTGGCTGTGTTTCTGAGTGTCTGTAAACTATAACCATAAACTTGTCATCTCCCTGTGCTCAGGGAATGCTTAAGGAGGAGACTGAGCTGCGCTTCCGTCAGCTGACGATGGAGTATCAGGCTCTTCAGCGAGCTTACGCGCTCCTGCAGGAGCAGGTGGGAGGAACGTTTGATGCAGAGAAAGAGGTCAAGGTAAATCATTTAAACATCCCAGCCATTAAATATTTATATATTCACTCTCTTAACAATAACAACATCTCAGCTCTTAGCAGATGGCTGTATAGTTCCTCATATGAATATGATTCTTTTTGCAATATTACACCGTGTCATAACCAAACACAATGCAATGTGTCAAGCTTTAAAAGCTTTTTCGACCACGACGAGTGACAGGACATTTTGTCAGTCACTTGGTCTCCACTTCTGTAATAATATCCCTTTGGTACACGAAACTTCACAAAACCTTTGTATTTTTCTCTTCTCAAAACTTTCCTAATTTAACTTTTAAATACAAAAAAATTTAAAAACCATCAACGTCACCATGAAATCAAAACAGACCCCATTTACTTTAAGCATGTTTTCGATGTTATTGTGAATGATTCATTAATACACATTATTCTAAAGAACAAAGTAGCTGATCACTGTAATTGTTTCATCAAAATGAAATTTTTGTGACATCATAAATTTAATCTTTTCTTTCAACCCTTTTCCTCCAATCACCTTGCAACATTCTGACAACGCCCACTTTTCACAAATCAAATCAATTCCTGAAAAACAACATTAAGTCCCGCCCTACATTTGTTTCCTAATTAAATATAATAATTTACTCAGAAATACGCAAAAATAAAATTGGTTTACATTTCTTTTTTTTCTTTCTTTCTTTCTTTCTTTCTTTATAGATGTGCAAAAATTACAATTGTTTGTCTGTTTTAGACTCGAGAGCAGCTTCAGGCCGAACTGATCCGGTACCAGACCAGAATAGCAGATCTGGAGTGTGTTCTAAGTCATCAGGGACAGGTAAAACACCTGCATTAGTACTGTTAGAACTGCAAAATGACATTTAGCACAGTTGTGCTTGTATAATTCCATTTAAGAAATAGTTCACCCCCCAAAAAAATGTACTTACCCCTCAGGTCATCCAAGATGTAGATTAGTTTTCTTCATCTGAACATCATTTGGAGAAATTTAGCATTACATCACTTGCTCACCAGTGGATCCTCTGCAGTGAATGGGTGCCGTCAGAATGAGAGTCCAAACAGCTGATAAAAACATCACAATAATCCACAAGTGATTAATTTGTTTTTTACACTCAACTTTTCAGTTCACAAGACAAATATGGAGACGGAGGAGACGCGACTGAAAAATGAAATTCAGGATGCAAAAGATCAAAACGAACTCCTGGAGTTCAGAATTCTTGAACTTGAAGTGAGTCTGACTGAAGATTTTTCTACTCCAAAATCTGTCATGTGTTTGCAACTATTTCAGACACACATTTAAACTTCTGGAGCAGAGGAATTGGTCAGTGAGAATAAAAATAATGATGCTCTTTTGTTTCTTCAGGAAAGAGAGAGAAGATCTCCAGCCATAAACTTCCAGAACATCCATTTTGCTGAGGGCATAAGTCCCCTACAGATGTACTGTGAGGCAGAGGGTGTTACTGTGAGTTACCCTGAACCATATGCCTCATTTCTCTATAGCAGGGGTGCTCAAACTCGGTCCTGGAGGGCCGGTGTCCTGCAGAGTTTAGCTCCAACTTGCCTCAACACACCTGCCTTCAAGTTTCTAGTATGCCTAGTAAGAGCTTGATTAGCTGGTTCAGGTGTGTTTAACTGGGGTTGGAGCTAAACTCTTCAGGACACCGGCCCTCCAGGAACCGAGTTTGGTCACCCCTACTCTATAGAGAGACCGGGGCTAGTTGTCACACAGGGGAAGTAACTATAAGGTTTTAATAATGAATGATCAAGTTGGGGCAAGTACAATAACAAAAGTATTTTTATACATTCATTAATTTAAAGTTTTGCTAGCAAAAATAATGTTTTAATATCTTACCTTATGTTTTCATATATAACAGATTTCAAATACAGATGTTTTTTGCTGTTCTTATTGTTATACAGCTGTTATAACAGCTGTTTTGTTATTTTTATTTTATATTTTATTAAGGATTTGATATTATGTTAACTTATTGTGTTTTCATAATTGTTTTATCTTTTAAATCTTTTAAAATAAATGTTTTTATGTTATCCTACATATAACACATTTTAAATACAGATGTTTTGCCGTTTTACTTTACATAGTATTTTATATTTTATTAAATAATGATTTAATGTTGTTACCTTTTTATGTTTTCATAATTGTTTTACTTATTGAATATTTTAAAAGAAATCTTTTATATTATCTTACAAATAACGCAATTAAATACAGATGTTTGTTTTACTTTATATAGTATTTTATTCAAATGTATTTGCTATTGTTACCTTATGTTTTAATAATTGTTTTACTGATTAAATCTAAAAGAAATATTTGTATATAATATTGCATTATACATTATAACACATTTTAAATACAGATATGTTGTATATATCTTTCAAATTAACAGCTGATTCCTTTTGTGACAACTTACCCCACATAGCTTGACAACACTATTATGATATTTAAAGATATCATAATATATTTCAAGTTAGCGATTATCTAAAAATCCAGACTTTGATGAAAAGCAGTGGCACAGAAAACAACACCTACTGTAGGTATTTGACTAGATTTTAATTCTTTTACCGTTATTGTTGAATTTTATCGCACATATCAGCTGAGAAATCATTTTTTTCAATTGAGTTTTTCAGATGGAACTGATATCAGACCAAACACTTAACAGACTGTCAGTGATCCAGCACAGATCTAATCTGCTGATGTCTGGAGGAGGATTTGTGGTTTAATATCTCAATTAAAGTCTTTCTCACACCACAGGACATTGTGATCACAGAGCTGATGAAGAAACTCGATATTCTGGGGGATAACGCCGTAAGTGTATGTTGATTTCATATGTAAATGTGTGTGTTTACACATGCCTGGGTGTGTTTGGTACACATGCGTATCTCTGTCATTGATGTCTCTCTTTTCATTGGATGACACGCACAGAATCTGACCAATGAGGAGCAAGTGGTGGTTATTCATGCAAGAACAGTATTAACATTAGCAGAGAAGGTATGATCCATACGTCTTTTTAAAATTATTGTTATTTCATGTTAATTTCATGCTGTATTAATGATGGTTTTATGTGTCTTTTGACGTCTCTGTTGTGTCCAGTGGTTAGAGCAAATCGAAGTCACCAAATCAGCGTTACAGCAGAAAATGCTGGACATCGAAAGTGAAAAGGTAAATGTATTTAAATGCATTACACACATTCATTCCCATAAGTTCCTCTTACTTACTGTATTTTATCCCAAAATAAATGAAAATAATAATACGTTATTATTTAGAAATAAATTATCATTTTATAATTAAGAAAATGAAGCCTCTTATGCGAAATGTATATAATTAAACAAAATTTCCCCCAAATTCCTAACATTTTACTGTTGATTTTTGTTATGATTCTTATTAGATTCTCATTACATATATAAATACTTTACATATTTTATTTTGTGTTTTGTTTTGTTTTTTTGCCAATGCAGTAATTGGAATTTGGTCGGATTGGTATATGATTAATATCATGACTATACCATAAATATACCATATTACCATATATATCCCAGCGACTTAAGACTAGTTTTGTGGTCCAGGGTCACATATACAGTATATATATATATTATTATTATTTATTTTTTTATATAATAATGGTCCTAACAACAGACTTATTTTTAATTTAACATTTTAATATAATTTAAATTATATAATAATAATAATAATAATCTCTCTAATATATGCAGGATGACATTTGTTAATGTGTTTTTACATCAAAATAATTATGTCCTCCAAAGGAGCTGTTTAGCAAACAAAAAGGATATTTAGACGAGGAATTAGACTACAGAAAGCAGTCTTTGGACCATGCACATAAGGTAAGGACTGTGCATCATGTTTTAGAGATCACACATGGCCAATAATCCATATGGTTTCTTCTCAAGCACTGCTGAGGAGTTTTACTCTATAATGAGATGCAGTTCTGTCCTCCTGTGCCCCCTGGTGGTGGTGAATGCATGTCATCTCTGGCCCACACCCCTCTGTGTTTCTCTCAGCGTATCCTTGAGTTAGAGGCGATGCTGTTTGACGCCTTGCAGCGGGAGGAGACGGGTGGGAAGGTGTCCGAGCTGCTGACCGAGCAGGACCGTGATTCGCTGAGAGAGGCTGTGGATCAGTGGAAGAGGCAGGTCTTGAGTGAATTACGAGAGAGAGATGCGCAGATACTCAGAGAGAGGATGGAACTGCTACAACATGCTCAAGCGGTATATACATCTATAAAACATGAGAAACAGAAGTGAATGAGATCATTCTTATTTCTATTGCAACGTGTGTGTGTGTGTGTGTGTATATGTATATACTGTATATATATTATATATATATATATATATATATATATATATATATATATATTGGCCATTTGTTACTGTTGATTGATCTGTTTTTCTCATCCCATCAGAGGATAAAAGAGCTTGAAGAATGGATAGAGGCACAGAAACGACAGATCAAGGAACTAGAAGAAAAGGTAATCATATAGATCACTCATCTATCATTTTCTGTCAAGGTCAGTACAGTCATCTCCAATAATAATATTTTGATCTCAGCCTAAATGTAATGTTTATTTTATTCTCTCCTCTTTGTTCCATTGTGTTGTTGTTTTTTTGTCTTTTGTTTTTGTTCCCATGTTCAGTTTTTATTTTTATTTTTATTTTTTTCTTTAGCCTTCATTCTTTGGTCGTAGCTCTACCAGAAAGCAGGAAACGGTGCCATGCGGCTCAGTGGACTCCGGTAGTACATGATAACTTCATACACACTAGATTATAAGAATAAATATTCTATTTCACTTTTCTCTTCGTCCACTTAAAAGAACATTGTGGCTGAACTTGCAAAAATATTCCACCAAATCATAATAAACTAGAATAAGAAGGTTTGCCAAGACAGACTTTGAATGTTGGTACTAAATGTTTACAACATTTTGAAGGCGATACAGTAGTGATGGGAGGTTCGGATCATTTTATTGACTCTCTCGTTCGATCTCGTTCATCAATATGTACAAATCTTTATTCAAGTCATTGCGTTCATTGAAGTGACTTGAAATGTTATATTTTACCAGCCAAATTCCCCAAACACATCCACCTACGCAATCTTGATCATATTCCAAATTAAGAAATCCCCATAATGCAGCCAATGATAATTTACAGGGAACATAAATAATTACTTTACCTTCTGAGTCTTTCGTTCATTTGTCACGTGAAAGACACAATGAACGAATCGTTCATGAATGACCCATCACTATTATACAGTATAAGTCTCATGTGGTGTGAGGACAATATAAAAAGATTTGAAGACTGAATGTTAAAAGCTTTGTGTTATTTGTTATACACTACCGTTCAAAAGTTTTTGGGTCAGCACGATTTATTTATTTATTTTTTCAGAAATGAATACATTTATTCAGCAATAATGCATAAAATTATCAAAAGTGGCAGTAACGACATTTATAAAGTTACAAAAGATTTCTATTTCAAACAAATGCTGTTCTTTTGAACTTTCTATTCTCTAAAAAATCATGAAAAAAATACATATACAAAAAGAATCCTGAAAATAATGCAAAATATGAAGCAGCGCTTCCTGAAGGATCACGTGACACTGAAGACTGGAGTAATGATGCTGAAAATTCAGCTTTGCATCACAGAAATAAATTGCATTTTAAAATATATTCAAATAGAAAACAGTTATTTAAAACTATAATAATATTTCACAATAATACAATTTTTACTGTATTTTTGATCTAATAAATGCAACCTTGGTTAACATTAGAGACTTCTTTTAAAAAAAATATCTATATATATCTTACAGATAGATAGATCCAGATGTCACCAGGTTTTAAGTGTAAATGTTGTTTTTGTGTAGCTCACAGGCCTCAAGTGTTCTTCTGTACCAGAGGAGGGTGACACACGTCATCAGGAGTCCCAGTGATCTCTTCTGTGCTGATACGAGACTTCAAACTGTTCACATCAACTCTGGAACATGGACATGGAATATGGTGCTCTCTATCTTGTGGACTAAAACTGTTTTTATCCTCCTGACCTTTTGAACTTTGCTTTGTGTGACCTCTGTGCGTGTGGAATTTAAGGACTCTTAAATTGAAACGCTGTCCTTTCCCTGCTGAGCAGGTGGTGCTGGAGGCTGCTTCCCTTTGGAAGCCTGATGGAATGAGAGGTGTTACGTTCAAATCCTTCCTCCCACTGTTTACACTCACTCTGCTTCGGTTCTGGTGGTACAGTGCGTCTGGTGTTTGCGTGGTGGCACTCGCCCGCTCCTGTGCATTGAGAGAAATGGAACTGAAAGTTTAATCCTGGAATTAAAATTATGTTTTCTAATGTACAGGAGCAGTGTTTCAAATAAATTTCTCAGAGGAAGACTGGAAAACTAAGAGGACGTTTCTGCGTCTTTTACCGTTCATTGAAAAGAAAGCGGCACAGTGGATTCTGAGGTGCAGAAGTTTTGATTCTGAACAGATTCTGAACAGAAACTCAATGTAAGGTAAGCTTGATTTGTTCATGCTTTGAAAATGGTTCGCAATTAAACATTTAGTACATAATATTTATGATATTTAAAAAAATAGAGTAATTCAAAGCTCTTTTTCTAGATTTCTTTCAAAATTAAGGGTTGGGAAATATGAATGAATAGAAATGCATAGGCTGTATATAGTAATACTTTAAAATAGTAATACTAATGAATAGCAATAATACTAATTTTTAAATAATAATAATAGTATAAAGATACTATATATGCTATATGTATATAGTATCCACCTGTTGCTTTGGTCTTCATCAACAGCCGCTTGCGCCACCTGCTGGTGAGCGACTGACAGCAGCTGGAGATCATGCATTGGTGCTCTACTGCTATTCCTGCAGCTCCCGGATGTGCAAAGGCCAATTTTCTGTCGAATTTTAACCACTGAATTTGTGGAAAGTGAAATAAAATGGACCGAAATTTGCCTGTCGAGTATTATACATCGTATTTTTAAACAGACTGAATATTTTGGAAGTGAATTCTGGAAGGTGAATATGAATTATTGAAATTTTTTTTATGAAAATGTGTGTGAAATATTTCGAATTGAAATATTCACAGCTTAAATAAACTAAATAAAACTATGTTAAATATCAGGACCTAAAAATGCAAGCCCTGAAAATACAAGGCATTAAAATGCAAGCACTGTTAATGCAATGCATTATTTTTTCAGTTAGTGCTATTCAACGTGATTTTTTGTTTCAAAGACATATGGCATTATATTTCTTCCATAGTTTTAGTTAAAGGGGTCATATGATGCTTTTTTAAAGATCATTAGGGATGTTCTGCAACGTCGAAGGAGCTTTTGAGAATAAAACCTTGAATTTTGAGTCGTACAGCCCCAGTTCTGCCAGGAGAAACCCTCGGGGACGAGTGGACGATCAGAGGGACAATTTCAGCGACACGTCGAGCATGAGTGATTTCAGCAGCGTGAGTCAAACGGCTCCGAGCCGAACGCAGCCCACCCCGTCCTACAGTTCACAGGGTCAGACCCTCGTTTACCCCACCGGACCCGGTCGAGCGCATAACGGGCGACGAGAGGTAATCACTCCTGTTTCAACTATCCCTGTGTTATTGTGTATATCATAACCGCTCACTACAGTTTAAATTATACTAACTTGGTAGCTGTTTAATTCCGGTTTACATCGTGTTTGTGTCAAAGTTGTATATAAAAAAATCTAATAAAAAAAAGCAAGTGAAACTTGTAATTTGCATAAAAAGATCACAGGAGACATGCTAATTGTGTATATAGATACGCACATATACATACATATAGTAATGTATATGTGAGTGTATGTAGCCTATATATGTTTGCATATATATGCACAATATTATTCAAATTTCAAAAGTAAAAAATAAAACTTTTAACAATTTCGCTATTAGTAAAAATAAATAATCCTTTGATGGCGTCTAATACAGTTATTTTAACAAGTCGGGCTTGCATTCAAAATGACATTTGATAATGATTATAAATTCAAAAATAGCTAAAGTCGTTATTTGGAATATTGTATTTTGTATTTTATTTATTATTTTTCTAATGTAGTGGATAGATATATTAATGGGCATAACTATTATTTTGTTTTATTCTAAAAAGAAACCATTTTTTTTCTTTGTTACGTAATCGTGTTTCTTGATGTTTGTACATTACAATAAAAAATCGCGCATCAATGGGTTAAATTTACCCTATTACACTAAAAAATGCTCGTAAATTTCACAAATAATTACAAAGAAACGGCAGGTAATACATTGAAGTAAACGTGAAGATTTCGAAGTAAAATTCGTGTAAAACGTAGTACAAAAAAATCTTAGTTTATTTACAACTAAATTTTTTTTCCCTAATCATAGTCAAGCTACTTTATTGTAACTATGGTAAAGTGAACGATTCTAAACTCTTGTCGTTTTCCACCTAAAAACTACTACTAGCCTACTTTTTTTTTAATATTAAAAAATATATGATTTTGTCGCACTGGACTCTCCAGAGAATAAAATACTCTATTACTTACTAGTTTGTTATTAAATGAGTTAATTTGTGGAAGTACAAAATATTTTTAAGAAATGTGTGTGTATAGAGGCTGGACCTAGAGTTCCTCTGTCGGTTCCGCCTCGCCCTGAGTGCAGAATGGGGGGTGTGAATACTAAAGCAGCAGATGGTGAGCAGACACAGACAGAGGGTGGGGGCTCTGGAGGGCTTTTGTCTCCTGTGACTATTGAACCCCGGTAATCTGAAACTACATTACACCTCGAATCCCGACACCCGTCCACGCGCCCGGTCGCTGCGCCTTTATTCTGACGTGAGCGCAGATCCGATCATCATCATCATCATCATCATCACCATCCCGGCTCGCGTTCTCGGAAATCAAAGCTGCTCCCAGACCGGTGCCATGTCTTTCCAAGGCAAGAAGAACAACCCTCGCGTGACGGTAAGAAATGTTAGCGATTAAAACCCGAGGCCACCGGTGAATGTGTGCTAGCTGCATTAACGGAGACATGGTGATGTTGAGGAGGAGGAGGATGGTTTTATTGTGCAGTCAAGGGTGAGCCTCCTCCGCCGCCGGCAACAACCTGCTGTCCTCCAAACACTGCTGAGAAAGCCGGTGAACATTTAAGAGCTGCACTAATGCATGCAATGATGTGACAAACGTGGATAAAAACGCTGCTTCGGTGATAATGTGTTCATGGCCGTAGCCAGGGTTTGAAAATTAGTGAGGTCTGGGGTGGGCCAGGTTGTGCCGGCCCTGACCAATTTGGTGCCCTAGGCAAGATTTTAGCTGGTGCCCCTTGCATCGCAGCCAATTCCACAACCGATCATTCACACAGAAACTGCATAGCTTTATGACATAAAACAAATTACATATGAAATAAATAAATATACTGATATTAACTCAGCTAGCTTTAAATTAGAGAACTTTATCGTCCAAAGGCAGCTACAATACTAACATTTAAATCTTCATTTCAGACATTCATAAATTTAGGGATGCACTGATGTTAACTTTTCATGGCAGAATCCAGTACTGGTTTTTAATGTGTTTTATTTAAGCAAAAGACAAGAAAGAATGAAAACATGAGTGCATGAAGAATATGGTTAGTTGCTTTATAAGCACATATTTTGATCTAAATTAGACTGTATAATTTCAAAACCTGAAGCAAAAACAGAATGGTCTGACTTTAGCTTTGTGAAATTAGGCTACACAAAACATACCAAACAGCAGATGGGCTGAATGAAAATGCAAATTCACTCTCTGTCAGCAGGTGGCGCTTAATGATCAGCAGTGGTGCATTGTTTCCTTGATTACCGCTCTAAACACAATGCATTATACTGAGGCAAGATGAAAGGAAAATGCCATCTAAAGTTTTTCTTAAGACAGTCAGTTCCCCTCAGAGATGTGCATTGTGAACAGTGAAGCTTGCTCTGCCTGCTAATGTATTTGAAGAGTTCAGATGCAAAAGCCTATAAGTGCCATCAAAATTTTCATCTAAAATTAGCATTTTTATCAGGCTCCTATATGTTTAGGTTCAGTAATTTTATTTGAATGGCAACGTATAGGTCCTTTTCTATGCCATTAAAGTGAATTTTTTTTAACAATTTTCCTGTTAGTAAAAATATTAACCCTTTGATGCACACTTTCTATTACAGTTATTTTAGCCATTAACATCATTTATTTATTATTTTTTTTGTTATGTAGTAATTCTTAGATCAGTGGGTTAAGTTTACCATATTACTTTGCCATAGTTACTGTATTGTGGTAAAGTGAATGGGTAAATTCACTCTTTTATAGTTTCCCACTGATCATAACTGTGACCAAGAATAAAATATATTCTTTTACACTCTTATTTTTTTTTTACTTTTTTGTTTGTTTTTTAATAAACTCTTGTAGGTGTTTTACATAATTTCATTAATTAATTGCTTTTTGAATATTTTACCATGAATGTTAGGAATCACCTTGTTACGCATAATAAAATAGTTTAAGTAAGGTAATAAATATTTTGTATTAATATAGTATATACTCATTTATACTAAAATCCATTTTTAACTTTTTTTTTTATTATTTTACAGTAAAACTACATGTATTGTCCTAAAATATAAGGTACGTTAAAGACAATTAACAGGTTTTCATTGTAGCATTTTTAAATTCTTTTCTTCAAAGTGTTAAAATATTTTTTTTTACCATGTGGAGCAGTCAATATGGTGTACATTTCCTAATTATTTGTCTAAAAACAGTTTTATATTTAAAACAAAAATTATTATTTATATGTTCATGATCATGTCAGGTTCCAGTAACAAAAATGATGTGGTATTATAGTGTATGCTTTACCAATAACCATGACCCAAAGACAGTAAAAGGGTTAATAAGCGAGGATCCATGTGCACTGCAGGAGCGAGAAAACCCAGGAAAGAGTGATATTAACACGGCCAAATTGGATCGAGTAACCCTTCCACACAATTTGGCATTGCAGCGTGACCACTAGAGTTCCCTGTCTGACCCACATTCAGAGCACAGAAACACACATACTACGCATTACGTTAATTTGGAAACATCAGCATAAAAAAAAATCATTAAATGATGCAAATTACTGAGAATAATTGCATATTAATTCATGCAGTGTTTAACCATATACTCCTATAATTCATTACTAAAGGCTCTGGATATTCAGTACTATAAGGTGAAGGGTCGTCCTGCATCCCAGACCCCTCGCTGTCTTTCTCGTCTCTCCTCAAGCAACATTGTGGCCCAGAATCGGAAATGCTAGGCAGGGATTTTGGCCGTGCCAACGATGGGCCGCCTGTGGAAGTGTCACATTGCATTAAAGTGAAGCTCTGTGGGTTGCACACCACCTCGGCCAGCGCAATGAATGTGGTGAAATACCCTTTAGCAGAATTCTAGAGATGTTTATTTCGTTTCTTTCTTTAACCATGCCTGTTTGGACTTTCATCTTGTGAGAGTTAGGTTTTGTGCCATGAGTTGAGGTTGGCACTGTCTAACAGCACCGTGAATGATGTCTCATGCCTGGGTGACCTAACAAGCCCAGTTGCCTGGCATAGATCCATGCCAGGGATAACTGAACAGGCATTGGTCTCCTGTAGCTGGGATTGTGATTTGGACTGATCAGAAATGGTGCAAAAACGGCCAGTGAAAAATGTCAGCCACTATGCATTGATGCAAAACAACAGTCATGCATGAATAATAAAGTAAATAGAAAAGTGTTGTTACAGATGAATGGAGTTGCCTGTTATCTTTCTTTTGTATTCTCTGTCTGGATTTTTTAATGTCTGGTTTTTGAATGATATAATCTCTCGGATTAGCTTCTGAATATTGCATAGGAGGATTTGCATGCATTATACAGCTCTTTGTGCTTTGAAATTACTGTATATCTACATCCAAAGCTCGTTGGAACTGCAGGTCAGCATGGTTTCAGTGAAATTCAAAGCATCTTAGTTAAATATAATGATCTTTGGGGTATCTTAACACTGAATATCAACTTTTTGGTGTCAGTGATGCCAAACCTGTATTAAAAAGTTAGAATATGTGCATATGCAAATTTATGTAGAAATGATAACAGTATATTCATTTGTAATTGAATGATCACTTTAAAGTTACATCACTTACAACTTAAAAATAACACGCTGCACTAAAATCATATTGTGTCTTCTTTCTTTTTTTTCTCCACAGAGTGATAAACTCATTATTAAAGGTGGAAAAATCGTAAATGATGACCAGTCATTTTATGCCGACATTTACATTGAAGATGGAACCATTAAGTAAGATTTCATTATTTCAAAAATCTGCATTAGCCATTCAAACATCTAAAAACATTCTAAACTTTACATTGAAAAATAGCTTATATTTATTTGTAATTAGCATTATATTATATTATATTAAATTATATTCAGGGTTGTCAGGTCTGCATAATGACCTTAGCCTAAATATCAAAACTCAAAACATGCCACTCGCATACCTAAAATACATATTTTACAGTTACATTTATGCGTTATTCACAATTTCAACGTGGAAATGATTATACAGTAGTTATAATAACCACAGACTATTTTCATTAAGGCTTCCCTCAGGTTTATCATTGGTAGAATATAAAATATTTCAATACATGCATTTCAGTCAAATATAATTTATGCAATATGTCAAACCATTAACACGTGGGGGAAAAAAATGGACCCACAGCATCAGTTTAAAAGTAGCTCAAGACTTGGCAACCCTGATTCTATTATATATATTGTACATTTCATTTAGCAGATTCTTTTATCCAAAGCGAATTGATGAGGGATATCACAAGCAATTTGTATTGATTTATTATTCTGGCATGCAGGCAGATTGGTGAGAACCTCGTTGTACCCACCGGCGTGAAGACAGTGGATGCCTATGGGCACATTGTGATCCCGGGAGGCATCGATGTGAACACCTGTCTACAGGCCCCTCGCCTGGGCATGACCCCGGCAGACGACTTCTATCATGGCACCAGAGCTGCTCTGACGGGAGGAACCACCATGATCAGTATGACATTACATCGACATCTTATAAGGACAGAGGAGAAGAGAGCAGAAGACTTACAGTAGTTATCAGATCATTAAACTCAGAATGGATTTCTAGTGGAACAGAAAGGAGGGTCTCTGCTAAAGTGTGTGTGTGTTGTACAGTATTAGGGCATAAGAGCTTGTCAGGTCTCATAAAATCAGTTGAATTGGGGTCACAGCGCTGTCACTGTCTGTTCTCTTCTGCTCAACTTTCCTCAGATAAGCCACTCAACTGCTATGGAGTCATTTAGGACAGAAATTGTGATTAAAAGGTCTTAAACAAATGAAGGCCATAAAAAGGTCTTAAATCTGAGCAGATCATGGCATTATATGTTGCACGCATTGCTAAAAATTAATATCCTCCTCAATATTTTTGTCTTGTTTTCCATTACAAACATCGAAACATCCTTAAATCAAGATATATTTTCTTGAGATGCAAAATGAAGATGAAATGCATTTTTCATCGTCATGCTCTGCTCATCTTTTAGTTGACCATGTTGTGCCTGAACCGGGAGCTAGTTTACTGGCAGCGTATGACCAGTGGAGGGATACGGCGGACAAGAGGTCGTGCTGTGATTACTCTCTGCACATTGACATCACTCGCTGGCATGATGGGCTGTTTGAGGAGCTGGAGTATCTGGTCAAAGATAAAGGTGATGTGACATTTCAGGTGTGACTTTGATATTTTTGCTTTCTGCGTATATTATGTTTCTTTTTAACTAAATAAAAACACATTCTGCATTCAGCTCCAAAAAGATAAATGACATTATAAAAACACAATTTCTCTTTTTAGGGGTCAACTCCTTCCTGATCTTCATGGCTTATAAGGACAAGTATCAGAGCTCTGATACACAGGTATATAAAATAATAAAAAATAATGTTTACACTACAGTTCAAAAGTATGAGGTCTGTAAGATTGTTTTTAATGCTCACCAAAGCTGCATTTATTTGATCAAAAATTCAGTAAAAACCGTAATATTGTGACATATTATTACAATTTAATGTTTAACTGTTTTCTATTTTAATATCTTTTAAAATGTTATTTATTCCTGTGACGCAGAGCTGAATTTTCAGCATCATTACTCCAGTCTTCAGTGTCACATGATCCTTCAGGAATCATTCTAATATGCTGATTTGCTCCTCAAGATTTTTTTCAGGATTCTTGGATGAATAGAAAGTAAAAAAAAAAAAAAAAACTGAATTTAAAATAGAAATCCTTTGTGACAGTACAGATGTTTTAACTGTGACTTTTGATCAATTTAGTGCATCCTTGAGGAATAATAAAAATATGAATTTCTTTAAAAAAATCTTACTGACCCCAAACTTTTGAACACTTAGCAATGTAGGTTTATAGATCCTGTTTCCAAGAACTAACACTCTCTGTATCTGTAGATCTATGAGATGTTTAGTGCCATGAGGGAACTGGGTGCCATCGCACAGGTTCATGCTGAAAACGGTGACATCATTGAGGAGGTTGTTACCATTAATCTACATTACTTCAGTTGTTAATGCATTTCAAAATTTACCAGTTTCTTTCCTTTCTCCATACTTAAATGCATTCTTGTGTTTGTTTGTAACCTCAGGAACAGAAGAAGCTTTTGGATCTGGGAATCACTGGCCCAGAAGGACACGTCCTGAGCCACCCGGAGGAGGTTTGTCTTAATGGTTCGGGTCTGTTTAATTCAAAATCTGTTCTTCTTTCATTACTTCTGCTGTTCTTCTCTAGGTGGAGACTGAGGCTGTGTATCGAGCCGTCACCATTGCTAAACAGGCCAACTGCCCTCTCTATATCACAAAGGTGATGAGCAAACCAGCTGCTGACGTCATCGCCAAGGCCAGGAAAAAGGGTACGAGAGTTGATAGAGCTCTACAAGACTGTAACAGAAACACAAAGACTCAAATGTTTGTGTCATGAGCATGGATTCATTTTCAGGCATGGTCATCTATGGAGAACCAATCGCAGCCGGCCTGGGCACGGACGGATCGCACTACTGGAGCAAAAACTGGGCCAAAGCTGCTGCATTTGTCATGTCTCCTCCTCTCAGCTCCGACACGAGCACTCCGGATTACCTCAGCTCACTGCTGTCCTGGTGAGCAGCTCAAATCAGGCCAAATACCAGCTTTTCACTTACATTTTCAGCAGCATACGCTACAGATTGGGGTTGGTACAGTTTTTTTAATGTGAAAGAAGTCTCTTATGCTTAGCAAGGCTGCAATTATTTGATCAAACATACAGAAAACAGACAGTAATAATGTAAAATATTATTTCAACTTAAATAACTCTTTCTATTTTAAAATGTTTTAAAATGTAATTTATTCCTGTAATGCAAAGCTGAATTTTCAGCATCATTACTTCAGTCTTCAGTGCCACATGATCCTTCAGAAATCAATCTAATTACATGCTGATTTGCTGCTCTTATTACTATTATTCTTATTATTATCAGTGTTGAAATGTTTCGCTGCTTCATATTTTTGTGGAACCATTATATATATTTTTTTCAGGATTCTTTTTTGAATAGAAAGTTCAAAAGAACAGCGTGTATTTGAAATCTAAATCTTTTGTAACATTCAAATACATTGTCATATAAATGACACTCAAATATATGACACTGTGTGTGTGTGTGTGTGTGTGTGTACAAACAAATATTATAGTATAATAATTATATATGAGATATATATATATAGAGAGAGAGAGATTAATTGCACTCTTTTTAAATATTTTGAAATTGAAGATTAAAGGCCAGATTTACTAACAGCTTGCATGAGCACAAATCCTTTTTTTTGGAGTTAAAAAACTACTGTCAGGATTTACTAAAGACACTCCGAGAAAAATTTGCAAAATAGCTGACCTTATTGCATATGCATTTATAGGAGTTTCCATTTCACATGCTAAATTTAAAGTACTTAATGAATCATGCAAGGTGATTTACTAAGGTTTGGTGGTCAGTTTACTGGTGTTTGCATCATTTCTGAACACCCCAAAAAATCATGTCTTAACTTATTTTGCGCCTGTGTTGTTAGTAAATCACACACTGCTGATTATCTTCGGCTCTGCTAGTTTGCAGCCCTACACTAATTTGCGCTGCTCTTGTTAGATTGCATTGGTCTTAAAGGGTTAGTTCACCCAAAAATAAAAATTAGGCTGTGTTTCACTCACCCCCGATGCATCCTAGGTGTATATGACTTTCTTCTTTCAGATGAATCCAGTCGGAGTTATACTAAAAATTGTCTTTGATCTTTCAAACTCTTTAATGCCACTCGGCGGGTGTTACATT